TCCTTGAGATTCTCCACCACAGTAACCTCTGCCTCCGTCTCGAAGCTCAGCAGAGAGTCCTCCTTCATCCCGACACCTCTAAGCGTCCTTACCAAGTCACTCTTCTCTGAGGTGTACCCTTCCAGGATGTCATCCTCCTCATGTTGAATTCGGACCTTCCTCTTCTTCGCTTGGGGGGCTCTTCCTTCCGTTAATCGCTGCCTCTTTGGCAGTATCAGAACCAGCGTGCTTTTTCGGCTCCAGCCTCACACCCTCCTTACCAGTTGGAAGTCGGGCAGGATCTCCTTTGCCCTTGCATCTCCCTCGGCCTGGTCCAGGTTGGCTTCTGCCGATGGGTCCGCCTGAGGATGAAGGCTGGTGCCTAAAGATAGGGGGAGATCTTTATAGGAGCAAGAGTAGTTCCTCTCTGTACAATTTTCATATGTTCTAAATGTTCCTATTTTCTTTAATTACACAGTGCGACAAAAAAAGAAAAGTTGGAGGAACTTTTGAGGAGACCTAGTAGGAATTGTTCATTAGGTCGAGTATAGTATAAAACCATGTTTGAAATTTTTCCTACACCCTCAAATCTTGATTTATTTCGAAAAAACGGTTTTTCGAAAGTGTTTTGCTCTTAAAAATTCCTGAACGCGCAAATTTAGGGCGATTTTCAATTTTTGTATGTTTTTCAATAGTTAAATGTTGTAGCTTTTGAAAAAAAAATACATCTTCAATTTATTTAAACAGAAAGGATACAAATTTTACAAAAGAAACTGACTTTTTTGAATTTTTGTCACGTTTTTCAAACTTTGACGCCATTTTTTCGGTACAACTTCCAAGAAATGGTATCATTCTTAACACATATTAATATTGTCTCATTAATCCTGAATAAAACAAGACCAATTTCATAACGAAATTATGAAAATTGTTGAAGTTATTACGCTTTTCCCAAAACAAGTCAATTCAAATTCGAGCGCACCGTAACAGTATGTAAGTACCAGTATGTATGTTAACAGAAAGATAGAAACTCAATGGAAGATTATTCTTGTCAGTCTTATTTTTATTGATTTCATTGCTTTTATCAATGTTTAAAAATGCTAAAAATGTTTGCATGATCTTTTGCGTTTATAAGAAGAGTCATCAGTTTCACGTCATCAAAAAATTGAAAATCGGCCTAAAATTGCGCGTTCAGGAATTTTTAAGAGCAAAACACTTTCGAAAAACCGTTTTTTCGAAATAAATCAAGATTTGAGGGTGTAGGAAAAATTTCAAACATGGTTTTATACTATACTCGACCTAATGAACAATTCCTACTAGGTCTCTTCAAAAGTTCCTCCAACTTTTCTTTTTTTGTCGCACTGTGTTATTCATGTCCGGTAAATAGAATTCCAAGGGAGTCTGTTCGTCATTTTGTCATCCGGCACTTGAGTCACTATTTTCCCCATTTCGCTAATTTCTCATAATAAAATGAATAACAACATAATTATTTTTAAAATATTTGTAAAAGAATGCAATAAAAAATTATAAAACAAGTAAATATAAAAATAATTAAACTATTACATTAAACTTACATTAAATTTGCATTACAAATTAAAGTAAAATTAACTTTTTAAAAATCGAAACATGAATAATCGAAATCAAAAAGAAACTTAAAGTTGTTATTGAAGTAAAAGCGAGAACCAATGGCAAAACAGAGCTAAGAAGTAAAGATAGCAGAATATGTTTCTGATCTCTTGGCTCTCCCACTGCAGTATGGTCCCAGTGCGGCATAAAATCAAAAAAAATATGAAATTTTTTTTTGATTATGAACAAAATTTTGATGGATAGACATTCCAAATAAATATAAATATACATTATATGCTCAATATCAATCAATAATAAAACTATTTCGTGTTATCATTATATTTGTGTCTGTGTTGTAAATGTTTTGTAAGTGTCTATTTAGCAAGAATGTGTAGTAGGAACAAAAGTAGTTGTGTTTTATGGTGACTAACCAGGTGAGGTTACTTATAAAAATATAGGAATTCAAATTTAATTGGTCTTCTTTGCCCGTTTTTGCCCCTTTTCGAAAAAACAACACATTTTGCAGGTGTTTATGAGATCTCTCATGCAGCGCTCCTCGAAGTTTGGGGCGAGAGCCACCGGAAAGACTTAGAGGTTTAAATTAAATATCATAACTAATAGAACCATATTTAGTAAAAGTTGTAGTTCTTTTTATGAAAAACTTAAGTTTATGTAAAAATTAAGTAAAAATGACAGTATGGCCAACTCTTGATGTAGGCGGCGGCCATAGGCGTGGTCAAATTTCCAAAACAATAAAATTCAAAAAAAAATATTTCCAGCATATATATGGAGTTTATGCAAAAAAAACGTCGTTTGCGCCCGAAGTGGGCGTGGTCACAAAAAAATTCGAAATTCGACAAAAATAATTTAAGCGTATGTGCAAAATTTGAGAATTCATCATTCCAAAGATATTACGTTATAAAATTATAATTCTCTCTTTCCCCCCCTCATCTGATAGCCGTTTTTCGTGGATCCCGCTCTCCAATGTTTTTATTTTTACAGCGGGTTCCACTACGCGGCTGCCAATATTCCGTAGAACTCGCACTTTACGAACACTATCGTCGCGGGGTTGCATTGCCCAGTTTAGCTTGTGTTGGTTGGGAAGCTTATGACCAGCTCCTTGACCAGCATTGAATTGCTAAGAGCACCTTTAGATCACACGCCTAAATAGTCGCACAGATGTTGCGAACTGCCAGCGCGTACTCTATTAAAGCTTCCAACCTGTCTTGGGTGGTGCTAGTCTTTGCACTTTTTCGACCAATCTCTCTAGGATATGCTCTGGTCTGCCAAAAAACATCTTCAAAGTGCTAATAACATCTGGGGGTAGGTTAGAAAGCATTTTTTCCACATTCGTAAATCAACCCTGCTGTAGTGATATATTCAAACGTGCTGATAAATAACGGGCAGTCCTCAGGATCCCCGCTGAAGATCCTTAAGTGGATCCTGTAGTTGCCGGTACGTCAGCGGGGCTTATCTGCGTAAGAAGATGGTACTTCTCTTCTATGAACCTTGCTTTAGATTGTCTTTTCTCCTTAAGTATCTCTAATAGTAGTTGGTTTTTGTCATGTCCAGATTGCTTTCCCGCATGCATATTCTCTATACTGCCGGCAATAGTGATTAGCGTATCGCTTTTCGTGGCGTTCCTGAGTATTCATTGCGCGTCTCCACGTGTTTGGGATATACTGATGATCTTTGCATACAGTGGTGCTATGGTGCTATGTGGCTGCGACCCGCGGGACAGAAATCTCAACTTCTAATGCCGTCTCGCTCTTCTTTTCGAAAATTTTACACACTTTATGCTTAAATGTTCATGCTTCTCTTTGTCCCGCGTATGTGCAATAACGCGTGTGCTTTTCTTTTGATCTGCGTGCTTACTCAACCTGGCTCTATCGGAGTGACCCACCTCCGATATTGCGAGTATAGCAAGACTTGCGTTCATGGCGGATATCTCTCTAGGACATAATTTTTCCATCAGGACCATTCAAGTTGAAAGGAAAAGTCCTTGAACGCAAGTCCTGCTATACTCGTAATATCGGAGGTGGGTCACTGATGGTATGGGCCGCATTTGGACACGCCGGAAGATCCTCTATGTTTTTTATTAACACGAATGAATTCTCAGTCTTATACTAATGGAAGACGTTTTGATACCGTTTGGCGAAACTTATTTTGAGAAAAAAATAATTTTTCAACAGGATAACGACGCCATCCACGTACCCAAAGTGTCAAAGCAGTTTTTTGAGGATTAAAAAATTGAACTTTTGGGGGCCAGCTTGTAGTCTCGACCTAAACCCGATTTAGAATGTGTGGGGTATACACTCAAATAGAGTATACAGCAATGGACGACAGTTTGAAAATTTGGCACAGCTCAAAAAGGGTTTTGTTGAAGAACAGGCCAAAATCGACGATAAACATTGCAGGATTTAATTTAATGTCTAAACGCTTGGCTGAAGTAATTTCCAAAGCACTGAGGCAATACCCACTATTAGGAAAGAAAATACATTTTTTTTCTACAATTATAAATTTTTCAAAAATTATTTTCTTCACAGTGTCCCAATAATTATTTCTAAGGGAGCTAACATAACAATATCAATTTTCGTGGAAAGGATCAGTAAAATAAAAAAGTTTTATCTGTTTTCAGTGCATTTACAAATAAAATAAAAACAAAAAAAAATTAAAAATCATTTACGATTTTATTAAAAAACAAGAAAGGAAAGCTAACTTCGGGCGGAGCCGAAGTTTATATACCCTTGCAGTTAAAACCGGATATATATCGCCAACATCGGATACAGTTGGCCGATCCTTATGATTAGATCATAATAAAACCAATTAACTAAAATAAAAAATCTAAAAAAAGTCCCAAGCTTCTATCTTTATCATCTTCATATCTTGGCATGTCGTAATGTGTTGCCAAAAATAGCTCTTATGTCAAATTTGAACTCTCTAACTCTAAAAACACAAAAGTTAAGCTATAGGATATAGTTGGCCGATCCGGGCCGTTCCGACTTATATACTGCGTGCAAAGAAAAGAAGGGTGTGTGCAAAGTTTCAAGACGATATCTTCAAAACTGAGAGACTAGTTCGCGTAGAAACGGACAGACAGACAGACAGTCAGACGGACATGCTCATATCAACTCAGGAGGTGATCCTGATCAAGAATATATATACTTTATAGGGTCGGAGATGTCTCCTTCACTGCGTTACACACTTTTGGACAAAATTATAATACCCTCTGCAAGGGTATAAAAATAAAGTGTCCCAATATTTATTTCGACCAGGTATACCTTTGGATGTTAGTTAATCAGTTAAGATTTGCTTAAAATAAACCCAAAGGCGGTGCTGTAATTGAGGTAGTTTTTAAATTTTTTAAAAATAAGAAAAGTAAATCAAGAGTTTATTTCACATGTTTCCGTAATCGATTTATATATGCTATATATTGATATTACTTTTAATTTTCACAGGTAAATTAATCCCCAAGAATGATGACTGTGAATATGATTTGGTTCCTCCTGATGGTGGATGGGGTTGGTTAGTATTGTTGGGGTCGTGCTTGACGAACATCCTAATTCCTGGGACTATCAAAAGTTTTGGAGTTCTTTTTGTCGAGTTTACCGCGGCTTTCAAATCTTCAGCAACAAAGGCTTCTTGGATACCAGCTCTATGTTACTTTCTCTACAGTTCCTTAGGTTATTATCAAACTAATATGTATAAATAAGGAAAAATATACTTAAATTAAAATTTTCAGGTCCTGTATCAAGTATTCTTTCTGTGAAATATTCATATCGAACCGTCACTATTCTGGGTGGAGCCTCCGCGTCTTTAGGAATGATATTATCTTTCTGGGCTTCTTCAATAGGATACTTGTACATTAGGTAATTTTTTAATATACTTAAATAAACCTTTATATATAAAATGTATTTTTTTAGCTATGGCGTTTTGGTCGGAATTGGCGCGGGTCTTTCCTTTCCACCCACAGTGTACATTGTAACGTCGTATTTCGCTAAACTACGAGGTCTAGCCAATGGACTTTGTATTTCAGGCAGTGCCCTGGGGAGCATTTTTCTTCCGCCTCTTTTGCGCTGGCTTCTAGAGACTTACGGATACCATGGGTCTTGTTTAATTATGGGTGGAATCACATTAAACGTTTTTGTTGCTGCTCTTTTCTACGAGCCGGTTGAACAACATATGATCCGAGTTCCAAGGGCTCGTCAGGCGTTGGAAGACATACCAGAAGAAGAAGACATGGGCATTGTAATGAAGTTTGAAAATGTTGAAGATAATACGCCTGGGAATGACACAAATGACAAGCATTTGTTGACTTGTCATTCACCTCCTTCCCCAATGTATTTGCACAACGATGAAAAGCAGCATTTCGTCCGGAGCGCATCAGCAGCAGTTGTTCAGAACTATACAAAACATGGTGATGATTTCCAAAATCGAACTCGTAAAATAAGTACACCAGTTAGATTGCCCCAAAGAAATCAAACATTTACGCCTGGCCAATTGAACTCTCAGTCTTCCCTGTACGCCGTTCCCGAAGGTCGCTCCAGTTCAAGCAAACTTACTTTAAGGAATTCTTCGAAGTCAAGATTATCAAAGCGTTCCCCTTCTACCAGTAGCTTTTTATATGTCAGCACCCCATATCACGGCAGCACATTGTCATTTCAACCAAAAGAATTCTCCTCACATTTATCCCTACGGTCTTTGGGCAGTAGTGGTGCAGGACCTAGTAACGATCTTGCCGGCGCTGATGGTTTTCATGACAATGACGAAACCCGAGGAAAGGTGCAATCGAGCCAACGCTCTAAATTTTTCGACCTTAGCCTATTTACAGATCCAATGTATTTGGTTATATTAATCTCCAACTCGACAAATGCCATAAGCTACACAAATTTTATCATATTACTTCCCAGTTTTGGCGAAGCCAGGGGATTTGATAAAACACTAGCTGCCTATCTGTTGTCCGTTGTATCAGCAACCGATCTCATTGGTCGTATAGGAGGTTCAGCTCTTTCTGACATGGGCTATATACCAAAGACTTGGTACTTCGTTGGCGGTTTGTCAGTATCAGGTCTTTCCCTTGCTCTGTTACCATTTGCATGGTCATACAGCGTGGTCTGTTTTTGGTGTGCATTGTTTGGGCTCGCGTCTGGGATCTATGTTGGAATAACAGCTGTTATCATGGCAGACATGCTTGGAACGGAACGCTTGACATCGTCTTACGGTATCAGTTTGTTTGTCAATGGCATACTTCAGTTGATTGGCCCACCTCTGTGCAATTTTTGGTTCGAGGCGGTCAATGATTACAATCCACTTTTCCACGCTCTGGGATTAACGCTTTTAGGCGGTGCCAGTCTTTGGAGCTTTATGCCATGGATTAATCGAAGAAAAGTTAAAGAAGAAAAGCGAAAGGAGCAAATGGACGAAGAGGCTGCCGATAGCAATTAAAACGAAAACAATGCTAAAGTCTCTAGTACGAGATAGAGTACAATTATTATAAGATAGACTTCGTATGGCGTACAAATTGTAGTTGAGTCCTGTGTGAGTGCAGTATAAATGGCCATTATTGTGAGGAAATAAGTCATGTTATATAAATTGTTTATTTTTTCAGCCAAAGTTTTTTGGTCCTTTTGTTATTTCCTAATTGTAAAATTTTGTAATTAATAAATTTATTATTAACCTAATATCTATATTTTAATAAAATGTTTATTTTTTCTAGAATTAAACCAATATGTGAAAAAGAAAAATACAATTTAAAAAGCAACTACTTTCTTGATTTAATTTTTTATTACAAGTTTAGTTACTATAGTATTTAGGTGTTTTTGTCCTTTTTTTTTAGGAATCCCTTCATTCGCAAGTACCGGACGATAAACGGCGTGGCAGCTAGAGTTATGCTTATTCTTATTGGTGCAAAAACTTTATGAACAGCGTAAGCTATTACAAAAGTGCTTCCAGTAGTTAATTTGTCAGCTATCGCGGATGGAGCGACTTCGAGAAATTCTAAAACGGAAATCATGTTAACTCCACTGAAAAATACATAAAGAAAATAACGTTTAATTAATATTGTTAGAAAATTTACAATTACACGTATAATTAAACGTGATTTAGAAATATATTGTTTGAGTATTATTAAATATTATCTTACCTAGAAACGAGGGCATAAAAGCTACCGACCGAAATCAATGAAATGCTTACATGGAAGACCACTATAGTAGCACCATAGTCCTTAAATGCTTGCTTAAGTTGCTCTTTTTTAGAAAATTTTTCTGGTGCTTCTTTGTGAGCCGGTAGATTTGAAGAAGGTAAGGAGGTAGAAGGTGGTGTCGATTGTGTAGTATAACTTCGCCTTGTAAAACCTGTAAAGTGATAGTTTCTCGTAATCTCAGGAGCGCATTGCAAAAGGTTGTTATTCCCTTGCAGAGGTAATTTTAATTAAGGTCGCGAAGTGGCATTTTCTACGGATGATGCCAATTGATGCTGCTTACCAAAGTTTATAAGGATCGGCCGACTATATACAGCTGCCATATAACTGAACGATCTGAAATAAACCAACTTTCGTGATTTGAGGGTTGGAACTTCCTACAGATTCCTACAGACTTGTCCGATCCTTATAAATTTTTGTAGGTCAGTCATTTCACATTATGCAGTCATTTTATGTTATGGCAAACGTTATGACATTTCCGATCAATTATATATTGTAGCTATAGGATACAGACGGCCGATCCCGACGATTCCGAATTATAAATTGCGTGCAGCGGAAAGAAGGATGTATGCAAAGTTCAAAGCTTTAGAAATAAGAGGCAGGCTTGCGTAAAACAGAATATCGACTTAGGCAGTGATGCCGATTAGGAATAAATGTATATAAGATGGATGTTGGAAAATGTGTCGTTAAACTTTTTGACCAAAGTCATAATAGCCTCTGTCAGGATATAACAAGAAAGGAAAGCTAACTTCTGGCGGAGCCGAAGTTTATATACCCTTGCAGTTAAAACCGGATATATATCGCAAACATCGGATATAGTTGGCCGATCCTTATGATTACATCATAATAAAACTAATTAACTAAAATAAAAAATATAAAAAAAGTCCCAAACTTCTATCTTCAAAAATACGGAAGTTGATATTTCTACCAAGTACCATTTCCGATCGTTCAGTTATATGGCAGCTATAGGATATAGTCGGCCGATCCTAATGAAATTTGGTAGGTTGGATCAACTGGCCAAAAGTAGAATCTGTATTAAGTTTCAGCTTTCTATCTTCAAAAACACGAAAGTTGGATCATTTCCGATCGTTCAGTTATATGGCAGCTATAGGATATAGTCGGCCGATCCTTATGAAATTTGGCATGTAGTAATGTTTTGCCAAAAACAGTTTTCGTGTCAAATTTGAACTCTCTTACTCTAAAAACACCAAAGTTATACCATTTCCGATCAATCAGTTATATGGCAGCTATAGGATATAGTCGGCCGATCCCGGCCGTTCCGACTTATATACTGCGTGCAAAGGAAAGAAGGGTGTGTGCAAAGTTTCAAGACGATAGCTTCAAAACTGAGAGACTAGTTCGCGTAGAAACGGACAGACAGACGGACAGACGGACATGCTCATATCAACTCAGGAGGTGATCCTGATCAAGAATATATATACTTTATAGGGTCGGAGATGTCTCCTTCACTGCGTTGCACACTTTTGGACAAAATTATAATACCCTCTGCAAGGGTATAACAAGAAAGCAAAGCTAACTTCGGGCGGAGCCGAAGTTGATATACCCTTGCAGCTAAAACCGGATATATATCGCAAACATCGGATATAGTTGGCCGATCCTTATGATTACATCATAATAAAACCAATTAATTACAATAAAAAATCTAAAAAAAAGTCCCAAGCTTCTATCTTCAAAAATACGAAATTTAATATTTCTACCAAATACCATTTCCGATCGTTCAGTTATATGTCAGCTATAAGATATAGTCAACCGATCCTAATGAAATTTTGTAGGTCGGATTAACTGACCAAAAATAGAATGTGTACCAAGTGCCAGCTTTCTATCATCAAAAACACGAAAGTTGGGTAATTTCCGATCGTTCAGTTATATGGCAGCTATAGGATATAGTCGGCCGATCCTTATGAAATTTGGCATGTCATATTATTTTGCCAAAAATAGCTCTCATATCAAATTTGAACTCTCTTACTCTAAAAACACCAAAGTTATACCATTTCCGATCAATCAGTTATATGGCAGCTATAGGATATAGTCGGCCGATCCCGGCCGTTCCGACTTATATACTGCGTGCAAAGGAAAGAAGGGTGTGTGCAAAGTTTCAAGACGATAGCTTCAAAACTGAGAGACTAGTTCGCGTAGAAACGGACAGACAAACGGACAGACAAACATGCTCATATCAACTCAGGAGGTGATCCTGATCAAGAATATATATACTTTATAGGGTCGGAGATGTCTCCTTCACTGCGTTGCACACTTTTGGACAAAATTATAATACCCTCTGCAAGGGTATAACAAGAAAGCAAAGCTAACTTCGGGCGGAGCCGAAGTTGATATACCCTTGCAGCTAAAACCGGATATATATCGCAAACATCGGATATAGTTGGCCGATCCTTATGATTACATCATAATAAAACCAATTAATTACAATAAAAAATCTAAAAAAAAGTCCCAAGCTTCTATCTTCAAAAATACGAAATTTAATATTTCTACCAAATACCATTTCCGATCGTTCAGTTATATGTCAGCTATAAGATATAGTCAACCGATCCTAATGAAATTTTGTAGGTCGGATTAACTGACCAAAAATAGAATGTGTACCAAGTGCCAGCTTTCTATCATCAAAAACACGAAAGTTGGGTAATTTCCGATCGTTCAGTTATATGGCAGCTATAGGATATAGTCGGCCGATCCTTATGAAATTTGGCATGTCATATTATTTTGCCAAAAATAGCTCTCATATCAAATTTGAACTCTCTAACTCTAAAAACACCAAAGTTATACCATTTCCGATCAATCAGTTATATGGCAGCTATAGGATATAGTCGGCCGATCCGGGCCGTTCCGACTTATATACTGCGTGCAAAGGAAAGAAGGGTGTGTGCAAAGTTTCAAGTCGATAGCTTTAAAACTGAGAGACTAGTTTGCGTAGAAACAGACAGACGGACAGACGGACATGCTCATATCAACTCAGGAGGTGATCCTGATCAAGAATATATATACTTTATAGGGTCGGAGATGTCTCCTTCACTGCGTTGCACACTTTTGGACAAAATTATAATACCCTCTGCAAGGGTATAAAAAATGTGGTGCCACAAAAATTTCTTACATCACATTCTTATTTTGAAAATTGGACAACGGATATGGCTTACTGATTATACTTTATACAGGGTGACAATAAATAACCCGGACAAACTTTGAAGCAATCTATTATAAATGTATTATGATGCAGCCCTTACATAAATGCATTTATCGATAGCTTGTACTTTTCTAAAACAAATATATTTACATTTTTGTGATTCCCATCAATTTGATATTTCTTTCGGGATGTCTAACAATCGTTGTGAAATTTTAAAACTGTTTCAACAAGGAAATCGCCAATGCGACATTGTTTGTTTGCTTGGCATACCAAAACAAACGGTCTCTGACGCTACCCGGCGATTTAATGAGCTTGGCCATGAAGGTGACCGTCCCAGGCGAGGCAGACCATGTACCGCTAACACTTGCAGAATTCGCCAGATAGTGAAAAAGCGGATCACTCGAAATTGCAGAGTCTCGGTCAGAAAAATAGCCCGTGAAATCGGAGTGAATCGAGAAAGTGTTCGGTTCATAGCAAAAAATGAACTTAATCTCAAGCCCTACAAGCTCCAAAAAATGCATCTTCTTACGGATGACAATAAGCGCGTGAGACTCCAAAGATGCCGTCAGCTAAAGCGTCGGGCCGCAGGTCAAAAATGGGAGCGTGTTCTTTTCATGGACGAGAAGATATTCACCATCCAACAGGTGCACAATCACAAAAATGACAGAAGCTGGTCTGCTAAAGCTCCAGGTACCTCTGCAATAATCGAGCGCCGTCAATGTGAGCAGTCTTTAATGGTTTGGGGAGGAATATGCGCCACTGGCAAAACACCCCTTGTTTTCATCGATCAAGGGGTCAAAATCAATCAGGAAGTGTACCGCCGGGACATTTTGGAAACTGTTGTGCTTCCTTGGGCCCAGCGGCACTTCGGTGATATGGAGTGGACGTTTCAACAGGATTCAGCGTCAGCCCATAAAGCCAAATTGACTCAGGACTGGTGCAAAGCCAATTTTTCGGACTTTATCACATCCAGTGTATGGGCACCTTACTCGCCAGATCTTAATCCGATGAACTACAGTGTGTGGTCTATTTTGGAGTCCAGGGCATGTGCTTAATGCCACATAAGTTTGGAGGCGCTGAAGCAATCATTCCTCCGAGAATGGGATCGATTATCGGAAGAACCTCCTGCGGCCCATGGCGCTAAATTTCCAGAAACGTTTAGGCCTCTGCATCGCAGCCCAAGGAAGCCACTACGAAACCACCTGAATATATGTTAACACAATACCTATTTAATAGTTGTGTATCTGCATTTTTTCTCAAATACAGTTCCTTAAAAAGTTATGATCAAAAATGTTTGTCCGGGTTATTTATTGTCACCCTGTACATAGAAAGGTACAATGTTTATTTACTGAATTACATAACTAAAATAATGCAAACACAAAAAAAAAGTTTATTATAATATTGTAATTAATTGTAGAATCTTTAGGTATATTGTATTAAGGGGGGACATCTGAGTAGAATTTTGAATTTTGAAATTTTTTTTCACTTAAAAGGGTCTTAAAAAGAACATATCAAAAGATAGAGCCCGGCAAAAGTGTCTAAGTGTCTAAATTTTTCATTTTGCGGCGATGCCTTACAGGTATATCCCACAGTACTTTAAATTTTAAACGCGTTTTTCTCAAAACCACTTTTTTGGGGACTGCCGGACACATAACTCGAACAACTCTTAACCGGTCGATCTGAAATTTTAACTGTATATTTAAAATACCTCTATGTGTTGACACACGTAGGATTTTTATATTGCTTACTTTTTTTTTAATCAACAATTTGTTTTGTTTTGACGTTTTGACGTGACGTTTTGTTTTCGTGAAAATATTAACTTTTTTTCCATTACTCACCATTTTGCAAATAATCAATATATCGCAAAAATCCTACGTGTGTCAATAGCTGTTGATGTTAAACTAACCAAATGCTGCACAGCCGCCATTTTGTTTTCGATTTACTATATTTACTCGAAAACAAAATTATTTTCTTCGCATCTAATATTATGAGACCTAATTTACAAATTTTCGATTGACTTTTTCATTTGACCAAAAAAAGTTTCAGAATATCCGTCTTTTTTCCCCTGTTACTCAGATGTCCCCCATTAAACATATAAAGGGTGTTTTTTTTAGAGGTATATAACTTTAAATTTCAATAAAACAACGATGGATTATTTGATTGACATGCATTTTTTTTTATTTGAAAAATAATCTTGTATCATTAAATTTTAAATATAACTTCTGGCATATGACCGCCAACGGCTGTCTCGGATGTAGTCCAATCTGGACGTTTAAGGGGACCCCCCATTCTCGGTTTCAAAAAATTGATTTTTTTAAAATTAATTTCGAACTTATAACTATTCAAGAATGTTCCTTTAAAATTTTAAGTTAAAATTTCAAAAACTCTTGAAGATATAGCCCAGTGTTTGGCACGAAATCTAACGGTCGGAGCCGCAGCTCGGCCAAACAACAAATTAAAACAACAACAATAACGGAGGGAGCCTTGAGAGCCCGAGGAGCCATAGGCTTGCCCACCCCTGATATAGCCGATTTATTATGGAAGCGACGGCGAGAGCCGTCTCAAACTTTTAAAATCGTGTTTCTCGAAACAGTGTTTTTACGACTGGCGCATGAGGTTACCCAAAACGTAATAATCCAATCGGTTCAAAATTTGTATACGTTATTCTATACATATATAGCTCTGGTATAAAATAGGATAAACTAAATCGGTGAAGATCTTCTTTACTTTTCAACTTGATTTGTGGCTGAAAAAAAGGAAATTTTTAAAAATCGTCAAAATTGAAATCGAGAATGGGGGATGGTCCCCTTAATTTTCGATGACTTTTTCCAATATTTGTGGCCGTATATCGGCAATAGCAGAGCGAATGTTGTCTTCCAACTGGTCAAGCGTTTGTGGCTTTTCCAAATAGACCAATGATTTTACATAGCCGCACAGAAAGTAGTTTAGCGGTGTTAAATTACACGATCTTGCTTGGAGGCCAATTTACAGGTCTAAAACAGGTCGGTCACCAAACGTGTCATTCAATAAATCGATTGTGGCACAAGCTGTGTGACATGTTGCGCCGTCTTATTGGAAGTTCAGCTTCTAGAAATCTAGCTTTTAGTTCAGGAATGAACAAATTTATATTCATGGCTCTATCATCATTGAATGTAACGTTCTGGATTGACTTGAAGCAGTAACGGTGTTTTGACATACACCCTAGGGTAGGTTCAGTCCAAATGGGGCAGTTTTGTTTTTTGGCGTTAATATTCAACCAAAAGTGCGCTAAACAAAATTCGCTTATGAAAATCAGTAACAATGGCAATCTCGTTTTGGGCTCATTCGACAAAAATACGCCTTGCTTGATGAACGTTTGGCTTCAATTCTTCCACGAGTTGGATTGTGTAAGCATGCAAACCAAGATCCTTACGAAAAATCTTCCATATATCTTCCATCCTTGCATAAAAGATCTTCCACAGATTCAACTTCTTTGCTCGATGGCGGATGGACTTATTCGTGTCTTCCTCAATGCTTCGCTCTACAGTAGCAATAGATTCTTCTGTACGGCGTCTCTGGGGATCGATCAAAAAAGTAAACGTATTGCAAAAACGTTCCATGGTTAATCAAAATAAATGCTCTGATGGACGATTTTGTCGACGATAAAATGGCGTGGTGCTACGTATTCCGCACAGCACCATTATTTTCGAAATAAAATTGCACTATTTGCAAGCGTTGTTCAGGCGTGAGTCTATTCATGATGAATTAACAAACCAAACTGAGATAAATCACATGAAAGCTGTTAAATCGGTCGCCATCTTGAACAGCAATGCTAACTTAAAGTTTTATACCTCTAAACAAAACACCAAAATACCGATCTGAGCAAAATTTACGAAGATAAATGGACATATACATGTATACGATATAATCGTATACATCAAACTTCTTAATTTCATCCCCCATGTAGTAACTTCAGTTTTTTATTTAATTTTTTTTTATTATTCCTTTTGATTTCTTTTGCATTCAAATTGAAAAGTGGCTTTAAAGTTTAAACCGATATAAACTTACATTCTTAAAGAATTTCGAAAAAATGTTTTCTGCTCACCTTGGTAATCCGCCCAGTTTGCGCGGGCATTATCCCGAAGGCAGGTATAGTGCGAATTTTGCAAACTTTGCGATGTAAACTTGCATTCTTGCGACCACTGGCCTCCAGGCATATTTAAATGCGATATCTTATGAATTCCTTCGAATGGAGTTGGGACATTACTTTGCATAACTGAATTTAGGCTAATAGATCCATTACAATCATATGATTGTATGTGAAATTTTACTTCAAAATTAGTATTAGCTATTTCTGGCACACACTTATTGTCGTAACTATTAGTGATGTCAATTTGCGATGATGAATGTGCGCGAATGGAGGAAATATCCCTCGACCGATGTGGAGAAAAACGGGTGGTTTCAGCCGCATCTACGTTGACCGGAATAGGAATTGTCTCAGGAGCAGAGTAAGTTTCTGTCGGTGCACTATTGTTAAGCAGTTGGGAACCTATTTTTGTATAGAATAGAAATAAAAAAAAATAATGAAATAAGTTATAACTTTAAACCAGACAATTTCTTCAATTGTTTCTATTAAAGAATATATATACTAAAAATTTAAATTATTTGGTGAATCTTTAAAAATTTCCTTTCCAGTGGTATTTCTTAACAGTTAAACTTAAACAAAGGGTGTCGTCTTGTTACTTGGGCCACTTTGATAATTAAATTTTTTTATATAAGGTTGTCGAAAAAGTCTTGCAGTATTTTTATTGAATTATTGTATTAGTTGGTTAAAATAATGCGATTTAGTTCAAATATGCGCCGTTTTGTTCGATGAGTTTTCAACGATATTCTTACTTCATAATATCCCTGTTATAGGAGTTCGCTTCCTTATTGGCAAAAAACTCGGAGAGCCAATTTTCACAGGACTCTCTTGTGGCCAACTTGTAGCCAACTGACTAACAAGCGCGTTCGCCATGGACAGAAATAGGTGGTAATCACTATACGGTGGATGCAAAAGAACCTCCCATCCGAACTCCAAGAGCTTCTGGCGCGTCACCAAAGATGTGTGTGGCCTGCCGTTGCCCTGATGGAAGACAATTCGGTTGATCAAAGATGGATTCTTCTCCATGAGTTCTGCCTTCAAGCGGTCGAATTGTTGGCAGGAAAGGTCTGATGATTCCCTGCCAATCCCATAAAAAAAACAGCAGAGCCTTCCTGGCCATTAATCCAGGGTTGGCCACCATCTGGGCAGCTTCATAGCTTTTTGACCACGACCGTTTGCGCTTCACGTTGTCGTAAGTAACCACATTTTCATCGCCAGTCACCATCCGCTTCAAAAACGGGTCGATTTTGTTGCGATTCAGAAGCGATTCGCATGCATCCATACGGTCAAAAATGTTTATTTTGCGTCAAGTCGTTTTTTTTTTAATCCAAGCTTCTTCAAATGGTTTATAACAGTTTTATGACTCATGCTCCGCTCTTGGCCAATGCTACAGCTGCTACTATGTCGGTCCCTCGGGACAAATTCGGCGATTGTGTCGCAATTTTCGACGACAGGAATTCGAGAATGGCGCACCTTCGATCACCTCTGAACCGGAGGGCCTTCCGGAGGGTTGGAGGAACTTTTAAAGAGACCTAGTAGGAATTCTTTATTAGGTCGAATATAGCTAAAAACCGTGTTGAAAATATTTGAACACCCTCAAAATCGTGATTTATTTGGAAAAACCCGTTTTTCGTGGCTTTTTGAGCTTTAAAATTCCTAAACGCGTAATTTCAAACCGATTTTACGATTTCCGACGTTTTTTAATAGTTAATAATTTTTTAAGAGTCCTATCAAAAAAAAAAAAAAGTTGAAGAGCGAATATTAAAAAATAAAATTTTTTAAGAGGAAGAAACAATAATAACTACCGAACTGAGAACAACTCGGAGAAAGTCACCCCTCATGTTTCTTCCACCAAATCCTGCCTCGAATTCATTCCTCCTGCCACTTATTCAAAAGCTATCCCTTTGCCCTCTGAAATCGAAAAAGTCATAAGGGAGCTAAAACCAAAAAAAGGTTCCCGGTGCACAGTGGTTGATTTCATAGGCCAAAAACAAAAAAACCAATTTAGAAATTGGTCACTTTTTGTCTTAAAAATATTTTTTAACAGACTAATAAAAGGAACAGTATTTTCATTTTTGTTCTCTCTTTGGTTTTTGACTATGTTTTAAATTTTTACTGCAACTTTCCGACTTATTCCCTTTTTTGTGTTCGAGCAAATTTCGCGTTTCGCCATATTCGTCCGTCAATTTTTCTCGACGTATCTCAAGCTTTCGACCGAGTTTGGCTTAATGGACTCATGCACAAAGTTTAAACGCATTTGCCAACACCCACAAGCTACTCGAGTCGTACCTCTTCAATAAGTTTTCTCAGTAAGATGCAACGCAGCTACTTTGGGAAACTGCATCATCGAAGCTAGAGTTCCACAAGAAAGCGCACTCGGCCCTTGTCTATATGTTTTGTATACTGCGGATATTCCTACGAACGAACAACTAACAACGACAATGTTCGCCGTTTAATGTTTTGACAAACATGCCCTGCGATTTCACTTAACTCCGATTCCTCAAGGTAACGAAGTGACGTATCTTGCAGCCCACCTCGATAGACGACTAATCTGGCGTAAGCACATCGAATGCAAGATGCACCTAAAACTAAAAGCTAGCCGCCTCCACGGAGTCATAAATTTACGTTCGCCACTTTGCCTGGAATACAAGGTGCTACTCTAGAATTCAGTCCTAAAGCCAGTCTGGACGTATGGCTCCCAGCTGTGAGGGAACGCGAGCAGCAGCAACATAGACATCAGCGCGTATAATCAAAAATCTTGAGAACTATCATTGGGGTACCTTGGTATGTTCGCAACGAAAAAAAGCAAAGCAAAAGCATAAAAGCAAGATTAATAAAATAAAAAAAAACCATACGTATAGAAGAATTAATTATGCATTCGCGAAAACAACACAAACATTATAAATTACCTTTCGGTCAACTCTGCCATTATTAAAGAAGTATTAAAAAAGCTTTTTGCTCAACAGAAGAAAATAAATTAATGCATAGAGTGTGTTAAAAAAACCATTTCCGTTCTTTTTACTTCCCACTGGGTTTCATAGCAATAATTTATTCCTGCAGACCCGTAACTTGGACCGCTCCGTATATATAACAAAGAAAAAGGAATGTTAATTTTTCGCTTTGTTTATTGTCAGCACGACATCAAGAACTGCGAACTTCAAACAAAGCCCCATCTGAACAGATATTGTAAGGACGCCCCATAGTCCTCATCTTTATTATTTTAAATTGCTACTTAAGTATCTACTAAAACTCCATCCTTAATTCCTTACTTTTGCTAATAATCCAAGTTTCTCTAATACCTATATATTTACTGACTGACTTTTAATGCATAGACTTATTCGCTGGCTGACATTAAGGGTCCAGGTTAGGAGAAGCTTTTATCTTTTCTTGATCATAAAGGCTCGTTCCCGGTTTCAAAGGTGAGGCCATATCTCTATATCCTTGGTCGGACTTAATGCGCCCGACGGGGCCGGTGCTGGCTGCACATTTTCCTCGAGTCCCGGGTGCTGCTGATGTTCTGGGCCTTTGGCCAAGGCGGGGCCGGCGCCAGTCTTCGCATTGCTATGTAGTTCTTGTTGCCTTTGGACTGCGGGAGTGTTGCTATGAAAATAGTTGGCAAACTGGAACGTTCATTTTTTCCGTGTTTAAAAATATTTTAAACACGGTTTCGTGCTATATTCGACCTGATAAACAATTTCTACTACGTCTCTTTAAATCCAACAAGTATAAAAATTATGAAGTATTTGCATACATATTTATGTAAATACATACATATATATGTAAGTGAAACTCTCACAACTTTGGCGTTTGGCTCTGGCTCGGATCGTTTGTGGTGTGTCCAACTTTTTTTCATTTATAACTGCAGCTGCGATAATTTTTCTATTTTCGCAAAATAAGAGGAATGCAACAAATTCCCCAGTTGTTTCTAGTAGAAACTTTCTACCTACCTTTTAGTCGCAATGAATCGAAGAAGCAATATGCTGCTTCGACTTAATATGTGCTTCGACTAGAATTTTTCAGAATACTGTGGTAAATTGCCAAGTTTAAAACATGCCACTTTATCAGTTGCTGATTAAGAAAATTTTTGTCAATTGTTTTGTGTGTAAATGTATTTTTATTCACATTCAGAGAATATCAACCTTTGAACCCTTATGCGCTTTAAGTAGCGCAATTTATATTTCAAATTAAATTAAGTATATATGTGCATATTTACCAGGATACTTTTGGAAAAAGGTATCGGAACGATTTATTAAAGTAGGAAAATGGTGTCCAAGGCGAAAAAGGGTTTTTCTTGAATTTATAAACATTTTGTAAATAACTTGATAAAATTCCACAACAGTATATGTATGTATGAGCACAGGAACAGTTTCGATATAATATACCGGTTTTCCACCCAAAATATACCAAAAAATACTACAAATACTATAATACTATGTATTTCATGTTTTCTAATAGTAAATTGTTTTTTAATGCTGAGTATTCAAACAGAATTTAGCTATTTTTTACTAAATCTTTTATATTTTAAGTATAAAATGAGGGAAAAATTTATAAATAGCGGATAGCGGGCAAATTATATATTTCCCTAGAAAAATTTGATTATTTGAAAACACAGTCCGACAGATATTGTACTAAAAACAATGGTGGTCAACGCAATTTCACGTCCTTCATAATTCAATATGGTCCCACATAATATTATATTCAATATAATTCAATATGGCAATATTTGAACCATTTTTTCTCGTAGGTGTTCCGCGGAAATTGTGGGTGATGGCACTTACATATGTTTCTTCTGAACCTTCCCCTTTCCAGGAAGTCTAAAGGTTACTGAGCAGTTTAACCTATGCGGGGAAGAAAACAAAAATTGGAAATTGTGGGCCTGTGTAGTTGCTTTGAAAAAATTGATCCCAAAACACTTGAGTAGAGTGAAAAGAATGTAGGCCATTTCAGCAATATTCGCCGAATCGATGAAGTGACAATAATGTAATTGATTAAATAACAAATAAAACTAATTTGTATCGATTATATACCCACACAAACGGCATTAATCTTCAATGTACGGAGATCAAATGAAAAGGTATATCGGAGTTTTGTTATACTTGGGTGTATAAAAGTACCGCAATGAAAATTGGCTTGGTCAAAACAATGATATCATGAATGCGTCAAATAGTTTGATAATATGTCGATTCAACTACTATCTTTGTGTGAAAACCATTGCATGGAACATTCTGTGGTATTTGCTAAAAAAGAGCGTTGCAGACTGTGTAAGATCGAAACGCTATTGTCAAATGCTGTAACAATAAAAACAGTTTTTATACCCTTGCAGAGGGTATTATAATTTTGGTCAAAAGTGTGCAACGCAGTGAAGGAGACATCTCCGACCCTATAAAGTATATATATTCTTGATCAGGATCACCTCCTGAGTTGATATAAGCATGTCCGTCTGTCCGTCTGTCCGTCTGTCTGTCCGTCTGTCTGTTTCTACGCAAACTAGTCTCTCAGTTTTAAAGCTATCGACTTGAAACTTTGCACACACCCTTCTTTCCTTTGCACGCAGTATATAAGTCGGAACGGCCCGGATCGGCCGACTATATCATATAGCTGCCATATAACTGATTGATCGGAAATGGTATAACTTTGGTGTTTTTAGAGTTAGAGAGTTCAAATTTGAGATGAGAGCTATTTTTGGCAAAATAATACGACATGCCAAATTTCGTAAGGATCGGCCGACTATATCCTATAGCTGCCATATAACTGAACGATCGGAAATGACCCAACTTTCGTGTTTTTGAAGATAGAAAGCTGGAACTTGGTACAGATTATATATTTGATCAGTTGATCCGACCTACCAAATTTCATTAGGATCGGTCGACTATATCCTATAGCTGCCATATAACTGAACGATCGGAAATGGTATTTGGTAGAAATATCAACTTTCGTATTTTTGAAGATAGAAGTTTGGGACTTTTTTTAGATTTTGTATTGTAATAAATTGGATTATATATTCCTATTCCCATAAGGATCGGCCAACCATATCCGGTGTTTGCGATATATATCCGGTTTTAACTGCAAGGGTATATAAACTTCGGCTCCGCCCGAAGTTAGCATTCCTTTCTTGTTTATCTTACGATACTTAAGAATTGAAAATAAACAGAAAAAAACTTCAAACTAAAAAACCAACTTCCGGTAGTGCCTAAACTGGTACGTATGGGGACTCACATTTTTACTCAAATACTGTTTGAGTAAAATAGAAAGAATACAATAAATAACATTTTATTTCGACAGGGCCCCAAAAAGTTAAGGTCGAAACGGTAAACACAGTCGTCCTTTGTTTTTTTTGTACCATTACAATTTTGGTCAAAAGTTTGCAACGCAGTAGAGACATCTCCGACTCTATGAAGGGGTCGGGATCACCTCATGAATTGATATGAGCATGCCCGTTTTTAGTGTCTCAGTTTTACAGCTATCGACTTGAAAGTTTCAAAGTTGAAACTTAGCACACACCTTTCTTTCTTTTGCATGCAGTATACAAAAAGGGACGGCCGAAATCGGCCGACTAATCCTACAGGTCCTATATGGCAGTTATACATATAATGATTATTCAAAAATTCCAAACCTCTCGTTTTTTTAGAGTTAGAAATTTGGGATTTTCTATGGATACTATTTGATTTGGCAAAACAATACAAACTATCGTCGGTCGTGCGGAGTCGGATAGGTCTGAATACCTGCAACGTAGGCAGCTCGGGAAGCTTTCGTGGAATCGAGCTTCCATATCCTTCATTGGTCGTCTCACAGGCACCATGTAGGCTACCGCTACCGCAGGAACCACGCTCCCGTTTACTGGTGGAGCGTCGAGATCGGCTCCATCCGAGCTGAGTGCATGAGAGCAAGGAGGCTCATGCAGCGTGCGAGAGGCAGCGACGCCTTTGAGGAGCGGCTCCTAGCCTTCAAGGACCGGCGCAAAGCATTGAAGGTGGCCATCCGAGACAGCAAAAGGAAATGCTTCCTGGAGCTATGCGACTCGGCGGAAGAAAATCCATGGGGCAACGCGTACCGGATAGTGGTGAAGAGGCTGCGCGCAGGAAACCAGTCCCCCACGGACCCGAACGTGCTAAGGACCATAGTGCAAGCACTGTTCCCAGCCGGCAACCAGGTCACCCAGCTTCCCACCCCCCCAGCAGACAATGAAGCGAATGAGGAGGTAACGGAAGAGGAAGTACTGGCCATAGGGAGAGGCCTGGCCCCGAACAAAGCACCCGGCCCGGACTCGGTTCCTAACCGAGCCCTGAAGCTGGCTCTAGCTCTGCAGCCGGGCAGCTTTGCGGAGCTCTACAATAAATGTATCCGCGAAGGCACTTTTCCCACCAGGTGGAAGGTACAGAAGCTCCTGCTGCTCCTCAAGCCAGGGAAACCAAGGGAGGAGGCGTCGTCCTATAGGCCAATCTGCCTGCTGGACGCAACGGGCAAGGTCTTCGAGAGGGTGATCGCGGCGAGGCTCGAAGCTGCCATAGAGGAGGCGGGAGGGCTGTCTCCCAAGCAGTATGGATTCCGGAAGGGAAGGTCAACGGTGGATGCCATAGCAGAGGTGGTCGGCATTGCTCGCAACGCAATATCGGGAACCAGGTGGAAAGGTGGCTCCAAGCAATACTGCCTGATAGTCACCCTGGACATCAGGAACGCCTTCAACACGGCGGACTGGAGCAAAACACTGGCAGCCCTAAGGCGGTTCAACGTTCCCAGTGCCATAATGAACGTCGTCAGTAGCTACTTTAGCTCCAGAGTGCTACTGGTCGACACGGACATGGGCACGGAGTCCTATGACGTTACGGCGGGTGTGCCCCAAGGATCGGTCCTAGGACCGCTGCTGTGGAACATCATGTATGACGGAATCCTGAGGCTGCAGCTCCCAGCGGGATGCGACGTCGTCGGCTTCGCAGACGACGTAGCGTTGGTGATAGTGGCCAAGCACAGGGAGGAAGCGGAGAGAGCGGCGAACAAGGCTATCGAGACAATGGAGATGTGGCTCAAAAATGCCGGTCTAAGCCTAGCCCCGCAAAAGACCGAAGCGGTGCTGGTCAGCAGCCGCAAGGTGCTGGAAACGGCGACAATCCGGGTTGGTGGTATGGCCATAACCTCCCAGCGGGCCATAAAATACCTGGGCGTGATGATCGACGCCCGGCTCACCTTCCGCGAGCACCTTGATTATATCCAGGGCAAGGCTGCAGCCACTAACAGGGGCCTTGCCAGGATCCTTCTAAACACCAGAGGCCCCAAGCAGAACAGGAGAAGGCTCCTCGTGAGCGTTGCCTCGGCGCAAATTTTGTATGCAGCACCCATCTGGGCTGAGGCGATGAATACGCCCAGCTACAGGAGAGGGGTAGATGCAGTCTACAGGCTGGGTGCTATAAGAGTCGCGTCCGGCTTCAGGACAGTCTCCGACGACGCCATTCTGGTCATTGCGGGGATGGTCCCGCTGAAGGAGCGCGCTCGTGAGCTCAAGGAGCTCAAGGAAACCCGTGCTCGCAATGAGGGTGCGGGCGGCACCCCCAATACAGCTGCAAAGGAGGACGCCAAGGAGAGGTCGCTCACAGCCTGGCAGGAGTGCTGGGACGCGTCGACGAAGGGACGATGGACACACACCCTCATTCCTAACCTTAGAAGGTGGGTGCTGCGAAGCCATGGGCAGGTCGACTTTTACCTGACCCAGGTCCTGAGTGGACATGGCTGCTTCCGGCAATACCTGAAGCGTTTTGGCCACACGGAGGATGACTGGTGCCCGGAGTGCGGGAGTTCGATAATCGAGGACGCCAGGCACGTTGTCTTTGAGTGCCGGCGGTTTGCACGAGAGCGCCACCGACTGGAGATGACGGCGGGTAGATCAATCCACCCGGGAAACCTAGTGGAGGTAATGCTGGAGAACCAGATGCTCTGGGACGCAGTAGCAACTTTTGCTGCAGCATTAATGCAGAGGCTCAGGAGCATCGAGCAGGAGAGGCGGTAGGGTGGAGAGTTGGGGCCTGTGGCGGGCGAAGCAATGCCTAGCGGTCGTCCCGCCCGCACTCAATCCCTCACTATCCATCATCCATGAACAACCACCTTTCCCCCCCCCTTATTATGGTTATACTTATGTATGTATGTATGTTAAATGTTGTTGATATTAATAAAAACAAAGTATAAATAAAAAGGCACCATGTAGGCGCGGCACGTAGATATTCCTCGTCGTACAGCTCTGCGAAACGGTACACGGTACGGGTTCACTCCAAAATGGCGGTCTGTCTGACGCCACACAAGCACTTGTTGAGTTAAGTGCGGCTATTCCCGTTGCAAATGGCAGCTGAACTACTCTAACCTCAGTGAACATAACGGGATCAGCAC